GAGAGAGAGAGAGAGAGAAAAACGTGGGCTCACTCCTGGGCTTTCTACATCTTAGGTTGGCTCTCAGCTCTCACTGAGCTGGGTCAGTACATCCCACCCACGCCACACCCTCCTCTCCCTCAGAAATCTGAAAGGAATCACCACAGGGCCTTTGACATCATTCACTGGTCTGATCTGGGCATTGTAACAAATGACTTTTTTCCGGCTTTATGTTTGGCCTTTGGGGACACCCTGAGGGAGACATTGCATCTTCCTCACATACACACACACATACGTACACCTACACACACCCTGCTCACACTCCCTCATTATGGCAGGATTCTCCTGCTTTGCACAGGAGCTGTGAGGACCTAAACACTAAAGTCTAGCATCAGTGTGTGGGAAGGAAGAGAACAAGAGGAAAATTCACTTAAAAGGACTTTGAGTCTGAAGATGAGACTATTTTAAAATCTTTATTTTGAAATCATTTCTGACTTACAGAAAAGTATTTTTCACAGAAAAACACAAAGGTACAAAGAATTCCTGTACACTCTTCACCTCATTTGCTTATCATTATATACATATTTAATATATATATAATACTTTTTTCCTAAACTGGTAAGAAGTAAGTTATAGATACCCTGCCCCTTTATCCCTAAACAATTGAGTGTTTATTTATAATAATAATAATAATAATAACAATTTTTAAAAGGACATTCTCTTTCATGACCCCAATACATTAAGATTAAGAAATCAAAACCAATACAATACTATTATCTAAACTACACATCTTTTTCAAATTTCATCAGTTTTACTAACAATGTTCCTTATAGAAAAAAAAAAAAAAAAAAATGATCCAGAATCCAGTTCAAGATCACCCGTTGTCAGGTCTCCTTAGGTTTCTTCAATTAGGATAGTTCTCAGTCTTTGTCTTTTATGACATTGACATTTTTGAAGAACAAAAGCTATTTACTGACTAGACTGTTCCTTATTTTGGGACCTTCTGATGTTTCCTCACAATTAGATTCAGATTGTGCATTTTTGGCAGGAATGCCACAGAGGTGATACCGTGTCCTTCGCACATCACATCCAAGAGACATGTTACGGATTGGTCCCCTTTGTCCCTTGTGATGCTAACTTTGATCACTTGGTTCAGGTGGGGTCTGCCAAGCTTCTCCACTGTAAAATTACTATTTTTCTCTTTGAAATCAATAAACATTTTATGAGGAGGGACTTTGAGATTGTATAAATATACTGCTTCTCACCAAACTTTTACCCACTGGTTTATACATCTGTTGATCATTCTTTTCTGAGCCCATTATTACTATGAAGGTTGCCAAATGTGATTTTCTAATCCCAACATTTCCTCTACATTTATTAGTTGGAATTTTACTGTAAGGAAGGGCTTTTTCTATTCCTCCATTTATTTGTTTATATCAGTATGAACCTATATTTCCTTATTTTATTCAATGGATTACAAACCACTACTATCTCTCTCTCTCTCTCTCCTCCCTCCCTCTATATATAT